TATATATATATATATATATATATAACTCACGATAGGGTCCTTGGTCATCATTCTTCGAATCAGGCGGGCCGCATTCGATGAAACGTGTCCGGGAATGGTATATTCTCCTTGGGCAATAGCTTCAAAAATCTGCAATACGTTCCCACAAGAGAATGGAACTCGACCAGTGAGCATGAAATACAGTGTAACTCCTGCGCTGTACACGTCCAATTTTGTACCAATAAACACCGACTGAACTCCTTTGGCCACTTCGGGTGGTTGAACAGCCGGAGTGGTTTGACCACTACTTACCTGATAAAATAACAAATAAGGAAACAGATAATAATATAACGACGAAGAGGATAAAATGATGTGATAAATGACAGATTCATCCTAATCTGAGACGATGTAGAATCCAATCTTGAGTTGCAGACAAGCGTGTCTCAGGGCAACTAGTTGGTTTCGGAATAGGAGGGCAGTTGAGATAGGTCGCTGAATGTTTCTGTTGGAAATACTCTAACACGTACCGGGCACAGTTATATCTCGAAACATCCGGTATATCACCGTATGATGTTGTTGATAATCTAACTACCCTGTACAGTCGACCAACGAAGGATGCATAGTTGTGTATTTCCCACACTGATCCACAGTTTCGCGCTACCAACGAGACCCAACCAGGTCGTAACCGGTATACGGTGTTTCCAGGCTTTCATCTGTTGTGCACACGATGAAATCACAAACACAGGTCTCCATCTGAAATATGAGCATGAATGAGTTTTGGCGAAGCGCCGAAAATTGAAAAACAAATACAAAAACAGACAAAAGACAGATTATATAGGAAAAAAAATCGAAACGTTAATGAACTTGTCAAAATGAAGTGCGCAGTAAATACTGAGTGCTCTCTTCAGTTGAACCTAGTCAAGAAGAGAGCAAAGTGGATGGAACTGTAGATCGCACAGAGTTGCGGAAATCGAAGGACCGGATTATACTACTACATTTCGGGTGAAAAAGCCCTTTGGCGCATCATACCGACAGTTGTTGATCGAGTAACAACACATTAACCGTACCCATGATCTAGGAGCAGCAATAAACCAGGAAGGATCCGCTGTGTTTTATGAACAAGTTTGAGGGTCGGAAATTAGGTCAGTGAGTGAAATCAAACTTAATTAGGAAGTGTGTAGCTGAAGATGATCTCAATTTTTTTGATCGATTACCGTTGTCAAGCTGAATGTGTAAGGACAATAGGCATTGAGCATATTTTCGGGCACCAGACAAATTACACAGTCCAACAGTGCATACATATTATTTCAAGCATTCTGGTCTGGTCTAGTTCATCGCGAAAATCGAATCAAGACCTGGAAGGCCAGAAGGAATAAGCCAGACAGAGTTCAGACTCCTGGCTCTCCAGGTTGGATATTTCACTGGATTTGGCGTCTCAGTCGGTGAAGAAATGGTGGAGCTGTAATCGATCCAAGTAAGTGAGGCTACACTTCGACTTACCCGCTGCCTTGTGGTTGGGTTCTTGTTAGAACCAAAGGCTTTGGTTAAGAACCCCAATCGTTCTTCTGCTTAGTGGCTAGCTACCCTATCAGTACCCGTCCATAAAACCAAAATGAATAAACAAACGAGAAACAATTCCATAATGCATCGGTCGTCGCACAGGATAATCAGGACTGCGTTGTTTATTGCATCCAGCGAGGTGGGTGGTTTTAAGTGGGCTACTGCTCAGAAATCCCAACCTTTGTTTAACTCTGTCTTCCACACATCCCTTGCCTCTCCTTACAACCTATAACATTACATCAAGCACCTTGTTTGCCACTCGTCAAAGGTCGTTGGCCAATAGCAATGTAGGTAGTTGACAGCGAAAAATGCAGATTGACCAAATCGCTGTAAGCCGCAAATGGTGGGGATGTATACAAGACTGTCAATTGTAATGGAGCAGTCCCATCGATTATGATCACGCATTAGTTCGCACCAAGCTGTCCGCATGGTTTGGGGTGCGTTCAGAGCGCAGGACACAGAGAAGGTTAGACTGCGATAAGTTGACTCAGCCAGCATACCTTACCATCTTTCAAAACGCGCGAGCTGAAAAGCTGGAACCAACAATATCTGATTGTATTGTATTCAAGCTTTAGCGAGTAATATATACAAGCTTTCAGCCAAAAAAATAGACCACCGTTGCAATTCTGGTAAAAAAGGGGGAAAAAGTGGAATGTGAAAACGTACAAAGGTATGGGTTAATTACCAAATGCATTAGAAAGCTCAGAGCGAACACTTTCCTTGTCGGTAAGTATCCGGGCAAGATAGGGTACCAAAGAGTTTCTGTATGCGGATATGCGAGACGGGATAAGTTTGTACTTGGAACGGGTGCAGGGGTGGGATTTGCATGCACACAAGTCAGTGTAGAGGATGGGTGCAATGAGATAGGATCTTGTTACC